TCTATCTATCTATCTATCTATCTATCTATCTATCTATCTATCTATCTCTATCTATCTATCTATCTATCTATCTATCTATCTATCTATCTATATCTATCTATCTATCTATCTATCTATCCATCCATCCATCCATCCATCCATCCATTCATCCATCCATCCATCTGGATAGAGAGATAGATGGAGAGATCTATAATCTTTCTATCCATCCATCCCACCTTTATGATGATGAATAAGCGAAGGGGGTGAACATCCTCTACCCCCCCCTCCTCCTTCCTCCTCCTTCCTCCTCCTCCTCCTCCTTTCTCCAGCACAACAACCCAGGGAAGGTATAGTGGGAGGTGTAACCCTGCCCCCCCCTTAGCCGCCTGGAGTGGAGCAGGTGGAGGGCTGAGCTCTTTTGGGGGGAGGGGGGCTGTGCACAAGGACCCTCACCTCGCTTAGAGACTTGGGTGAAAGACTTGGGGGGGGAGAAGAGCCCCCCTGTCCCTCTCAGGTTCAAAGCAAGGAAGAATTGGCCTCTCCCCTCGCCTGGCCTTGGGGAGCCAGACCCATCAGGTTGGGGGGCCCTGGCTGACCCCCGGGGGCACCTGGATCCAAACCCAGCCCCCTCCACCCAATGCTGCTGGAGTGGAGGGGTGGCTCTGGCTTCTACACTGTGTTTGCATCACACCAAAGCCCCTTCTGGAAAGGGGGCAATCCCCAAGCTGCAGAATTAGGTCACTGGCAAGCTATGAAAGGAAAGGCTTTAGGTTTGCATGCTGTAGTTACACCAGTAAAGGAGAGTATTTGTAGCTCAGGGTGGAAATGAGGGACCTTTGGTGTCCTCTTGGTGGCTTGGTGGTTTTCTTGCAGACATTCATGACCCAACTAGGTGGTGACCTAGAGCAAATCCCCCTCCCTTCTAGCACTGACAATGTTCTCTAATTGGGTAATGAAACATCTGCAAGAAAAGAACGAAGCTCAGAGAGCACCCAGGACCCCCCCACACACACACACACACACCCCCCCCCCCCCCCCCCTCCCCCTCCTCCCCTTCTAGCACTGATGATGTCACCTATTTGGGGTACTAAAACATCAAAGAGAAAGCAGCAAACTCAGAGAGCACCAAGCCGTCCTGGCCTCTCGGCACCTGGAAACAACAGCACCCTAGACTGGTTCGGGGTGACCCCCCCAGCCAGTAAACAAGGGCCTTGTTTTAGTTGAAGCTTTACTAGCTGGGTTAGCCAGAAAGCACTTTAGCACAATAATAGCATCAAGATCGGCTCTTTCGTCAACATTTTGTCAGGGTGCCAGGAGATATTTGGCAGCACAGGGAGAGAGAGAGAAAAAGAAACAATAATTAAAGTGGCAAAAGTGTAGATGTTGAACCCAAAAGAGAGGATGGGAAGAATGGAGTCCCTTGAGCCATTGATAGCAAGATTTCTGTCCCCCTCCCCTCCCCCAAAAAAATATTGTTTTGGGAAGAAAAGCAAAGAGCTCAACTTAAAAAAAAAGAAGAAGCAGCCAGCTTGCCTAAAATCCTTGTGGGCAGGGGTCAGCGGAGGACGATGAAAAGGAAGGGATGCAAAATCTGCCTTTGGCAGAAGGCTGCAGGAATGGTGCAGCGCCAATGAACCAGCTGGCCCGAGTTTTTAAAAAAATAAAATCAAAGTAATCAGGTTGCCATGGCCACCCTCTCCCCCCCCCCTTCATCTGTCAAGATTTTTCTAGAAATGAATTGCCATGGTAGTGGAGAAAAGATCTAAAAATAATGCCACCCTTTCATCTACCAAAGCATCTCTCTCTCTCTCTCTCTCTCTCCACGTCTGATTTTATATAACAACAGAATTAATGAAAGGACGGTTTGTGGGCAGGCAAGGAAAACAGCCTCTTGCTGGGGTTGGACGTTTGTGTGAAATGACAGGATTTGTTTTCATTGCATAGAAATATTCAGTGTGTCCTTCCAAGTTGCTAGTCCTGGCTCTGTGTCCTCCAAGGGCTCCACTTCCTGGGAGTGGAAATGGCTCCCCAGATTCCACTTTCACCCCCAAATGCCCCCACCCCAGGTGTGCCCAGCTCTCTCATTTCTGCAAGCCACAGAGACAGATCTAGTGGCGTTTTAAGCAGGGGCTCCTTGGTGCCAACCACCAGCAATCCCACAAGCAAAGAGTGGTAGCCCTTGAAATGTGGGTCCTACAACATGCCCCCCCCCCATTTCACTCTTTTTCTGCTTCTAAAACCAAGCCTCAAACTCCTTTTCCTTCCCTGGTGCTGCCCAGCAAGGCCTTTGAGGGAATCAATGGGATCTTGGCTTCTGCAACATCCCAGCTTCCCATTTAATTTTTGTAGCTTATTTCTTTAAGGAAAGAAGCAATAAGAGGAGGGCTGAGTGGTGGTGACTGGGCGCTGACTGGCAGTGCCACTCTATGCCACTCTGGACTTAAGCATTGTTGAGATGCTCTGATCTTTCTTTGAAGGACAGCCTTCCATTCTGAGACCCAGAAGCGAATTTCTGTCCTGGACTAAAAGCAGCGAAAGGCACTCCTGTGTTGATTCTCCAACAAATATGATGCTTCCGAAACACGGAGCCTTCCTAAGAGCCCTAGTTAGCCTGGTCTTTTTCGTCATTCTCTTCCTTCATTGTCAAATGCACACACACACACACACCCCACACACACACTGGTCTCTTCTGGGAATTCTGTGAGTTGAGGGCCACACATTTTCAAGTGGCCAAGTTTGGAGACCCCTGCTATATAAGTACCAATATTCTCCCCAAATTCATCAAAATTACAGGTGGCATCTCAGGGTATCTGGTTTTAGTATTTAATTTCTCTTTTTTTGTTGCTATTAAAAATAGGTAGCAAGATTCTGTCTGTCCCTGCTAGCGGGTGTGCAACAGGGCAGCGTTCTGAAGGAACGATCTGGACATCTTTTGACACTTACTCCCGAAAGAACCAGAGAACGCCAGAGATCAAAGGTACTGAAAACTGAGGCGGTTCGTATATAAGATTCCTGCTAAACTCCAGGTTCTCGCCATAGCAGGGAAATAGGGCAGCCTTTGGCAACGTCGGAATTTCTTTCTGGTTTTAAAGAGACTTGGGGAAGAATAGCCCAGTTGCATAATCAGCTGTCAATCAAATGGCAGCACCCTGTCATTCATCCCAGAAAAGGATAAGGGACTATTCAGTGCTCCATAAAACGGAGGTTTGGGTTGTGTGAGGGTCCAGTCCTGCCTTGCCTCCCCATCCAGGATCTGCAACTCTGGGCCCTGCAACTGTGGTGAGGCTGTCTTGGTGATGCCAAAAAACCCGGGGGGGGGGGCTCCGTGCCAGGGAAGAGCAAATCCAGGGAGACCCTACCAAGCGAGGCAGCAACCTGACCTGTTTCTTGGGCAGGAGGAAGGGGGCAAAGGAGCCTTGGCCAGTGTCCTGGAGGCCTGGCTGAAAGGGATTTCTGCGTGAGCCCCAAGGTCCCTTCCAATTTTGTTACTCTGTTGTACGTGCTGGGCGACGGGTGGGGAAGCTGGCAGGAGAGCTTCTGTGCCAGGACTAGAGGAGAGGCCCACAGCTGCCAACCGACTCATCCCTTGCCTTCTTTAGGCCTGATTTTCATCCGAGCCTATGTGGCTTTAAAACCACGAGGACCAGAACCTTAACCCCCTCTTCAGTCACCCCCAGTCCCTTGTCCAAGGCTCAGAGCAGCTTCCCCCTCGTCCAAGGGTGTGCCTGCCATGAAAAGGGTTTTGCTGCCCCAGGGAAAGGATCCGTGCCAAGCGGGGTTGGCAGCACAGGCACAGCCAGACTTTCAGGAAGAATTCCTCCACAGGGGAGGGGGAGCCTCTTGGCTGCCCATTTTTTTCTTCCAAGCAAATGTTTTGGAGAACTTTGCAATGCGAGCAAAAGCCGCCAGGGAAATACCCCATCCTGTTCCAGTCTGCCCTCTGCTCTGCCCCATAGCTCTGAGCCCAAGCCATGCCCATTGCTGACCTGCAGAAATCAGTGGGCCGGTTTTTGGGGGGCTATTCCTGAATTCAGAACCAACTTTCCTGGTTTGGGGGCAAGAGAGGAAGCCCTGTGCAATCTCTCTCTAATCCTCTTCCCTGCCTGTCCAGTTTTGACCTCCAAACTGGTGAGAACCAAGATAAACCAATGCAAAATGGGGTTTATGTACCAATAAACCTCTATAGATACCCAAAGAGATTTTATTTAAAGGCATTTCTCCCTCCCCCCCCCCAATTTTTGCAGCAAGTACAAACACCATCCTCTCCCTCCTCAAGGCCACCAAATATGTAAAAACTGTCCCCCCCTCCTCCTCCTCCCACGATGTACCAAGAGTCCCATCCTGCTGAGCACCAGCTCACAGGCGCCTCCTCCTGCCAATTGCCAAAATCCACAGAAAAGGACGCAAAGCGTTGGTTGTTTCTGCCCAAGCCGGAAAAGACGGGCAGCGATGATGATGATGATGATGATGATGATGATGATGATGTGACACCGGACGATGGAACAC